ACCAGACTGTAGTATATCATCACCAGACTGTAGTATATCATCACCAGACTGTAGTATATCATCACCAGACTGTAGTATATCATCACCAGACTGTAGTATATCATCACCAGACTGTAGTATATCATCACCAGACTGTAGTATATCATCACCAGACTGTAGTATATCATCACCAGACTGTAGTATATCATCACCAGACTGTAGTATATCATCACCAGACTGTAGTATATCATCACCAGACTGTAGTATATCATCACCAGACTGTAGTATATCATCACCAGACTGTAGTATATCATCACCAGACTGTAGTATATCATCACCAGACTGTAGTATATCATCACCAGACTGTAGTATATCATCACCAGACTGTAGTATATCATCACCAGACTGTAGTATATCATCACCAGACTGTAGTATATCATCACCAGACTGTAGTATATCATCACCAGACTGTAGTATATCATCACCAGACTGTAGTATATCATCACCAGACTGTAGTATATCATCACCAGACTGTAGTATATCATCACCAGACTGTAGTATATCATCACCAGACTGTAGTATATCATCACCAGACTGTAGTATATCATCACCAGACTGTAGTATATCATCACCAGACTGTAGTATATCATCACCAGACTGTAGTATATCATCACCAGACTGTAGTATATCATCACCAGACTGTAGTATATCATCACCAGACTGTAGTATATCATCACCAGACTGTAGTATATCATCACCAGACTGTAGTATATCATCACCAGACTGTAGTATATCATCACCAGACTGTAGTATATCATCACCAGACTGTAGTATATCATCACCAGACTGTAGTATATCATCACCAGACTGTAGTATATCATCACCAGACTGTAGTATATCATCACCAGACTGTAGTATATCATCACCAGACTGTAGTATATCATCACCAGACTGTAGTATATCATCACCAGACTGTAGTATATCATCACCAGACTGTAGTATATCATCACCAGACTGTAGTATATCATCACCAGACTGTAGTATATCATCACCAGACTGTAGTATATCATCACCAGACTGTAGTATATCATCACCAGACTGTAGTATATCATCACCAGACTGTAGTATATCATCACCAGACTGTAGTATATCATCACCAGACTGTAGTATATCATCACCAGACTGTAGTATATCATCACCAGACTGTAGGATATCATCCCTGGACTGTAGTATATCATCACCAGACTATAGTATATCATCACCAGACTGTACTATATCATCCCTGGACTATAGTATATCATCACCAGACTGTAGTATATCATCTATGGACTGTAGGATATCATCTATGGACAGTAGGATATCATTCTTGGACTGTAGGATATCATCCCCAAATTGTAGGATATCATCCCTGGACTATAGTATATCATCACCAGACTGTAGTATATCATCACCAGACTGTTTTATATCATCATCAGACTATAGTATATCATCACCAGACTGTAGTATATCATCATCAGACTGTAGTATATCATCACCAGACTGTAGTATATCATCACCAGACTGTAGTATATCATCAACAGACTTTAGTATATCATCACCAGACTGTAGTATATTATCACCAGACTGTAGTATATCATCACCAGACTGTAGTATATCATCACCAGACTAGTATATCATCACCTGACTGTAGTATATCATCACCTGACTGTAGTATCATCACCAGACTGTAGTATATCATCACCAGACTGTAGTATATCATCACCAGACTATAGTATATCATCATTAGACTGTAGTAAATCATCACCTGTCTGTAGTATATCATCACCTGTCTGTAGTATTTCATCACCTGTCTGTAGTATATCATCACCAGACTATAGTATATCATCCCTGGACTGTAGTATATCATCACCTGTCTGTAGTATATCATCCCTGGACTGTAGTATATCATCACCAGACTATAGTATATCATCATTAGACTGTAGTATATCAACACCTGTCTGTAGTATATCATCACCTGTCTGTAGTATATCATCACCTGTCTGTAGTTTATCATCACCTGAATGTAGTATATCATCACCAGACTGTAGTATATCATCATCAGACTATAGTATATCATCACCAGACTGTAATATATCATCCCTGGACTGTAGTATATCATCATCAGACTGTAGTATATCATCATCAGACTGTAGTATATCATCACCAGACTGTAGTATATCATCCTTGGACTTTAGGATATCATCCCTGGACTGTAGTATATTATCACCTGACTGTAGTATATCATCACTGGACTGTAGTATATCATCACCAGACTGTATCATCACCAGACTGTAGTATATCATCACCAGACTGTATCATCACCAGACTGTTTTATATCACCACCAGACTGTAGTATATCATCACCAGACTGTAGTATATCATCCCCAGACTGTAGGATATCATCACCAGACTGTAGTATATCATTCCTGGACTATAGTATATCATCACCAGACTGTAGTATATCATCACCCGACTGTATTATATCTTCATCTGACTGTAGTATATCATCCCCTGACTGTAGTATATCATCACCAGACTGTAGTATATCATCACCTGTCTGTAGTATATCATCATTAGACTGTAGTATATCATCACCTGTCTGTAGTATATCATCACCTGTCTGTAGTATATCATCACCTGACTGTAGTATATCATCACCTGTCTGTAGTATATCATCCCTGGACTGTAGTATATCATCACCTGTCTGTAGTATTTCATCACCTGTCTGTAGTATATCATCACCAGACTATAGTATATCATCCCTGGACTGTAGGATATCATCCCTGGACTGCAGTATATCATAACCAGACTGGAGGGTATCATCTCTGGACTGTAGTATATCATCATCAGACTGTGTGTGTTGTAGGATATCCTCCCTGGATTGTAGGATATCACCCCCATGCTGTAGTGCATCATCCCTTGACCATAGCATTGTTATCCTCCCCCTTGTAGTACAGTGTATTATCCCCTATAGGATAGTGAGGGCTATTGATTGGTATGTTTGTATAGACAACAGCACCTGTTGACATTGATCAGCGTCAGTGGCCTCTAGCTAAGGGACAGCCTCACATCCTAGCATCACAGTAGTAATATCTTAATTGTGAATGTTTTATTGATCGAGAATGTAATCTAAATATTGATCAAGGTAACATAGCTGTACAGGTCTTTTCTACGATTAATATCATCAGAGTTGTTTGTATAGGCCATTTACAGGACCAGTGTTATTTCACAAGTGTATAAAATGTCCATCTCTGCGCCCAGTGTTTTCCTACCTTGCTATTACGTCCAGTGTTAGGACCAGTTTTGTCCCATGTGTATCTGTATTAGTTTTATGTATGTATTGTCCATCTTTATGCCTGCACTTATAATATTTTTTTCATATTTTATGCATAACTCCACATTTTTTATATGGAGAATATATGGAAACAATGCGAAAAACCTGATTTTGAAAATATTTGATATGGAGAAATTGGACTATTTCACAAAAACAAAATACAAATTATGGACTTTGAATTTGTTTGATGCGGAGAAAAATACTGAAAAATAGGGAAAACATGATTTAAATAAACACAGCTGCATCTGTCCATCTAGAATCCTGGTCAATTTTCATATTGAAATTCTGAAAGCATTCAGCTGGTCAGTTAGTTTGTGTGAAAGGATGAAGGAGCATGTATTTGAGAAGCAAATACCAGCATACTGGTATATTTATTCAGGTATTTTAAAAGTCTATCATTTTGACCGGTATTTTCCAATGTATATAACTATTTATATGTGTATAATGTTCACTGTTACGACCAGTATCGTTTAAGGATGTAGATTGAGCAGGTCAATATTCACTCTATGATGTCAATTCAATTGTAACGTCACAATTATGGTTCCTGCAATACATTCCTCCGTACAATGTTCATACTTTTTTTTCCCCTTTTTAATGATTAAAACATTGTTTACCTTCTAATATTTATAACAATTATGGACTTTTGTTGAGTTGAATCTGTAATGATCTGGACCAGAGAGAATTATATTGACCTCAACACAAGTCAGTAATTGATAAATAGATCACTCCCAGGAAGTTAAGATAGATATTGGCGGGTTGCAAAGGCCCCATAACCACAGATAATAATTTGTGAACCGTATTAAGACGATCTACGACCTAGGTTGTGATAGAACGGTATAATTTTTTATTAATTAATTATTATTAATATTAAATCTGGCATTAAAACCAGTACTGTTGCCCTACCTGTGTTTGTGCTTAAGGTCAACCAAAGGACCAAATTGTCCCACAGATACATCTATACATGTGTAATAAAATCTATTGTTAGGAACAGTATTGGTCTTCCTATACATCTGCAGTAGACCTGCATGTGTACAAGATCCTTTGTCATGATTAACATGGCTTTTTAAGGTCCATTATAACCACACATATTCACCTCAATAAAAGTCTTTGATTGATAAATATGATATACCGTCCACTATTAGGACCAGTATTGCCACATTTGTGTTAAAATCAGTATTTTTAAACGGGTTTTTGGAATTATTAGAAAACAATTGAGCATTATTTAGATACATATACCAATTAACGTGTTATATTTAGTCGTGGGTTGTTTGTCTCATCCTAGTTTATATTGACAGTATTCTTTGGTCTATAAAGGTAGAATTTGTTGAAGAACTTCTTTTAAATCTCTTCAATATTTGATTGCACTTGCATATCCAAGGCCTCTAATTGTTCGAAATTGGGATATTGAAAGATTTGTATATACATATAGGTGTGTTATGCTGCTACAAACAGTAAATTAGCTTCAAAAAGCATCATTCACTACTGCGGGAGGTAGTTATCATAACGGCCACCATTACAATCAGGAGTGATTTTGACAGCTGACGTTATTTTTTCTGTGATGTGACTTTCTCCAACAGTTTGTACGTATTATCGGGAAAAAACCCTCCACAAGTCAAATACTTACCTTATTCAACTCTTTGTTTTACAGGCAAATGCAGACCGATCTGGACACATTTAAAGTCTCAGTGGAAAAGGTCAACGAAGAGGCCAAGAAGATCGGACCTCCAAATCAGGACACAGGTGCCATTTGTCAAATATGTCACAAAACGAAATTTGCCGATGGAGTCGGACATCGATGCAACTACTGTCACCTACGATCATGTGCCCGATGTGGAGGTCGAATGGCTTTAAAACCTAACAAGGTGAGCAGACGTTAAAAACATTACTTTTCGCGGGCTTTAGTAGTGTAGAGTTTGTACCACACTTGTCTTTTGTTAATAGCCCTGTCACCACTGTGGACCATAATGGACTCTACCATTACTAATCATGGTAGAGTCCATTTAAGTAACATAGGGATGATAGGGTTCATAAAGTGTTCTTTAACCATAAGTTGTAATCAACCAGTCTACTCAAACCTTCTGTCTCTTATATCTGTTAAAATTTTCAAACAGTGAACGAGAATCTTGAACAATATCCCCCTCTGACTTTGTGTTCCTCAACTATGGACAATCAGCCATGACCTATTGCTATTGTTTTTGCTTAAATTTTGTTTATAGTTAGTTTTAAAGACACGCAGAACTAATTCAAATCAAACATTAAAAAAATGGTCAACATATTAAGAAAGGAAAATAGAATAAAAAGCTAAAAAAAGCTCGGTCTCTTGCATATTAATTAGCAGACTTTATAATCGCTTCAAACCAATTCCTGTGCTGCCTGACTAGCATCCTTGATATCCAGGGGTTATGCTAATTTTTGCTCTCTGCACCCCTGGAATTTGTTATGGCAAAATTGAAGGCTCGGTGTACAACGCCTTGTTGACGAGACAAGAAAACTAGTTTGATCCTTTGATGTTCATTAAAAGTATCTCGTGGTCATGTAACGGTAACAATTGACAGTCGGGTGTCACTCCTTTGTAATCTTCAAAGTACAGGTATCAGCCTAGCGATTGGTCAGTTTTTTTTACCTAAGACCAATCAAACAGCTATCTTTGTGCTTTCAAATTTGCTATAACATATTCTAGGGGTGTAGAGAGCGAAAGTGAGTGTAACCCCTGAATATCGAGAATGACTGACTAGTAGTTTGTAAAATAATGATATTTATCACTCAAGTTCATAGAAATTGTGATAAAAAATGTTCCATGTTTTGTGACCATTGTTTGTCATTTTAATCTAACTCTCGTTAGTTTATTTTCCAACTTTTGAATTTGAAAATGATCTCACTTGAGATTGGAATATGTGACATTCATCTTGGAACCTCGCTATCATATTTTAAAGTTATGAACATTCTGCCTCCAGTACACAGGTGTACATTACACACATGAGGATACGTCCCTAAATGGTCTTATAGCCGTACCCCTGCAGGTCGGGGATTGAGAAAAGAATCTGCTGTTACCCACTGCATAATTGTAAGAGGCAACTAGTGTGAGAACCCCCTGCACTCATTGCATTAATTTCTCTCTACTTCTAACTACCTTTTGTTTGCTAGCACCTTGCTTGGCAACACCTTACTTTTGGCTTTGATGTTGAACTTTTGCCCAGGTGAGGAAGGCAATGGGTTCTGTCCCCAGGCCAGGACATACTTAAGTCCTTAAAAATGTTAGTTGTTATTCACTGCTTAACGTTCAGCATTTCGGGTAATGGTTGATCACGACCTGTTGTCAGTATAATGTGACCGGGCAGAATGCTATGTAGGGTGCCTTTGTTATGGTATTTCAGTTGGATAGCACTATAAGTCGGCATCCGATCCGCGCTATCACAAGGAGGCAATTACAACAACATACCCTGCCTCAAGCATGCATATACACATGCACCCTAATACACAATACATGGAGGCACGTCCTTAAATGACCCTATTCTGTTGATTAAGGACATAAAAGCCTTAACAACCCAACCCAACTGTTATAGCTGATAACAGCTGGACGTTAAACCTTATAAATCAAACTTAATTACCTTTATTAGGACAAATATTCAACCTTCACAGAATAAGAACTCCAGCTGGGAAATAAAGATATAATCTTTAAAAGACAAATTCTCAACCCATTTACCCCTAAAGTCACATTTGAACCTTACCAAATCAAAGACTGGACAGGTCCAGTTTAGATAAGTAGGGTTTGAATGAGTACATAACAAGTGAAGGGATTTTCGACCTGCGTGAAATTGGTCATGGATTACGGGCCAATATAATTCAACAATAAGTATAATTGAATGATTTAGCACCCTCCCCATTGGAGAAAGACTGAGAGGGGCTGTGCCTGAAAGGGGAAATATGGCTTAACTTTTCATGGACTATTCAATAAATAATATATGGTAAAAGGAATGTTTACTCTATTAAGTATTGGGCAATCAAGGGCCTAAAAATGAAAGTTGTGGTCCCCTGCAGAGCAGATGGAGGGAGCCTAAAAGGGGATATGGGGGTCCATCTTTAAAGGACTTAATTCAGTTAATGTAGACTTATATTGATTGTGAGTTATGGTTGGGGGGAGGGCTGTTCTTAGTCATGAGTTGTTGTCCAGGTATTGATTTGTCCAACTCCCACTACAAATCATCCCAGCAGATCTAGAGCTGCATACATCTGTACCCAACCCAATCAGCTTAAATCTGGCCACGCCGCTGAATAATATACGTTATATCCAAACATATTGTCCATAGAAAAATAACAGCACTAGAAATACTAAGCATTAATATTGTTAACAAATTACACTGCAGGAATTTTAATTTGATTTCCCTAGATACTATTAAATAAAAAGAACTATGTACACCTGTTTTTGTTGACAAAGCTTCTGCAGTGAATACCGTAATCATTGATCTCTCCGGCAAACTGCGTTTTTTTGCTTTAAAATAATCGGTATTATGGCTCAGAGTGATCACCGGATCAATGAGCAATAGGCTAAGCCATTAACCCTTTCACCACTGTAGTCCATAATGGACTCATCCATATCAATGCTTGGTAGAGTCTACTAAAGTTACATAGGGGTGAAAGGGTAACGATACAGCATATATATTCAAGTGTTATACTCGAGATCACTCTGACCTATAATAGGAGCGTTATCCACTCTTTAAACATCCGTAAATACGTTTGTTGGTATTCCTGATACCACTTGATTTGATTTATTTGCAAATCACACAAAAAAAAATGTCTTAAGAGACCATCTGCCTTTAAAATACCTGCCTATTATGATTACTTGTATATCAAAACACCTGTCTAAAAAGATCACCTGCTTAGAACACACCTGTTATTCATTATGCCTTATTGTACATAACACACCTGTCTAAAGAGACACCTGTATATAACATACCTGCCTATTATGACCACTTGTATATTAAAACACCTGTCTAAAGAGACACCTGTCTATAACATAGATGTCTATTATGACCACTTGTATATCAAGAACACCTGTCTAAAGAGACATCTGCCTATAACATACCTGCATATTGACTGCTTGTACATAACCCACCTGTCTAAAGAGACACCTTCCTATAATGTACCTGCCTATTATGACCACTTGTATATTAAAACACCTGTCTAAAGAGACTCCTGTCTATAACATAGATGTCTATTATGACCACTTGTATATCAAGAACACCTGTCTAAAGAGACACCTGTCTATAACATAGATGTCTATTATGACCACTTGTATATCAAGAATACCTGTCTAAAGAGACATCTGCCTATAACATAACTGCATATTGACTGCTTGTACAAACCCCCCCTGTCAAAAGAGACACCTGCCTATAATGTACCTGCCTATTATGACCACTAGTAAATCAGAAACACCATTCTAAAGAGACACCTACCTATAACATACCTGCCTATTATGGCTACTTGTATATCAAAAACACCTGTCTAAAGAGACACCTGTCTATTACAAACCTGCCCATCTTATAACCACTTGTATATCAGAAAACACCTATCCACTTTGCCTATAGCTAAATCCTGCTTATAAAATTTTAATTAATGTATCTTATTGGCGTTTTTACTCTATTTCCTAAGGTAAATCATTTTAAATTTTAGGTACATGTCAATAAAGTTTAAAGATAATTTTGAAGATAGTTTTACATCGATGCACATGTATCATACGTGTGATCCATTTTTTTCTCCAAACTCTGTTAAACCAGAAATTTCATTTTCCCAAACACCGTTATACAAGAATTATTTACTTCATTATACAAATTGTTTGTTTATTTCTCAATAACAAAAGTAATGGTGGACTGTATTGTAGGGAAAATACTCAACGTTCATATGTTCCACTTGGCAGAAACACTGGTCTCATTAATTTTAGAAATTTAGAAATAAAATACTTTTGGTTTTCAATGGTACATATTTTTATGTGTTTTAGTACAGTTTTACAATGGTTTAATATAACTCCATATGGTTTACCATTAGATTAAATGGTTTAGCATGGTTTTAATTGGTTTGGTATAGTTTAATGTGGTATATTATATTTCTCAATGGTTAAGTATGGTTTTAAATTCTTTATTATGGTTTTCCATGGTTTATTATTTGGTTTAGTATAATTTAAAGTTGTTTTATATGGTTTTAAGTGGTTTAGTATGGTTTAAATTGTTAGGTATTGTTTAATGTTCTTTGATATTCTGTAATACATAAAAAAGTAGGGATTAGCATTGAGGACGATGGGTTGCATTAAAAATTAAATTTGAAAAATCGCATTGAAAGAAATAAGAAATAACGATTTATGTTTTGAAACCAGTCATCCTTGATTGGTATATATATTAAACTGAAGTGTTTCCGGAATATTTTCTCTGCAGTATGTAGAGTAATCTATCATGATTAATAATGATAAATCGCCATATGTCAACATGCTAAATTTCAGCTTAAAAAATGTCCTCAACTATTGACATTTAGCCACGAATGTACACTGCAGAAGTAAATCTTTTAGTGACATTTTCATGATAATTTGTATAAATATTTATGAAATATATTTAAATTTTATGAGGATGTTTGTTGATAATAAGCTGATTCCCGTACTAGTACGTGAATACTGTGCATGCACATATACACACTATAGCTGAACCAGTCTGCTGATGGTGAAAGGCCACGCTCCCATCCTATATATATATATATATATGTACAGCATTAGTCCTTATATTACTTATTGATTTTCATGCGGGAAGCTTTTAAAATATTTAGCCCTGCAAATATGTTATAGCCAACATCTTAGGTTGCCGGCTTCAGACTCTCTGCTTTCCCGTAGTAATATGTCCTCAACTTTCCTCATTCCTAAATTTGTAGAAACCTCCCCCTGGGGCGAAAACAGAAACACCAGTGGTAAGTATATATTACAGATTTGGCACAAAAATGAAAAAAGAAGAAATGAAAAATAATATGTTGTTTCAAAGACAATATGTGTCATATTGTTTAATTATTAGGAGTGGGTGTGGAAAGTCTACTTAGGCTATCAATAATAAGTATTACAAAGGATCTTCTAAGCAAGTCAATTTTTTTCAAAATATATACCGGTACACTGAACTACTCCTCTACTAAAACAGACATGATAGGATCTTAGTGAGATTAAAGTTAATAACACAATAGGATTTATTTAAATTTGATAACACATTGAGTCACAGACTCATCTTATATGTGGTTAACTTTTAATTGTAAAAAAATACAAAAAAAAACATACATAAAATGTTATGTTTGGAATTGAATCATAGATGATCTCACAGATAAATTTAGAAAGAAAAAAAATGTCATAATAATCAAATTAATTATTTAATTATCAAATGTCACTACTGATAAAGTATGAATTCTCATGTTGCACTTCAGGAGTTCTGAAAACACAAATTGTATCTCGATCATATACAAATTTGCCAATATGGCAAATTGTAAAAATCAACCAAAGATATGCTTATATAGCACAGGTTAACTTACCAATCAAGATATTGCAGAATATGAAATTAATATTCAAAAGTGTAATTAAAACTAAAATCTATTAATTAAATACACATGTGAAAGACATCAGGTACTCTAATGAAAAATCTCAGAGATATTTGACATTAACGATTCAATGATTTTAAGATTTATGTTAACGAACAAAGAATTATTAATTAACATGTAGCCCATTGGGCTGGTTACGGGATCTATTTTAATATATGTGCTGTCAATACAAAGAAACAGTCACTTTCACAGGTGGACTCTTTTCATTGTTCTTCAAATTTCTGTCTGCTTGAATTTTTATCTGTTTAAACTTTTCATCACCACTTTTCTTCTGACTTTAAACTGAAATCTTTATTGCATGTATCACAGTTTCATATTATAGCCCTTTTAGATAATTTTATTTCTCACATTTAACAAAGTTCTTTTTCAGTAAGGATCCCATACCACTGCCAAAAATTGTAACTCCAACTTTTATGCATTGGAAACTGTTTTTTTATGTCATGACTATAACGTTGATAAATCTTTTCTGATAAGAAACCATACCTTGTGGGACTTAAACGAAAAAATAATGAAAATAAAATAAAAAATATATGATCAACAAAAGTGTTCTGAGAGTAAAACATTAAGCGAGGCCAGACTGGGATTCAAACAGTGGACAGGTTGTTATACTATTGGTCTAACCAAATGAGCTACCCAGGTCAACGGATGTGTTCTGGCCTAGCTAACAGTGCTACAGTTATGTATCCCAAACGGAAGTGAAGGACAGAAGTTAAGGGGAGGTTACTGTATATAGAGAAAATGGCAGTGCAGTGGGAAAGGGATCTTTAAGGAAGTTATTAATAAGTTATTAGTCAAAATTTAGATATTGTTAAATTTTGATGAAAATTGGTATACAGGGGTATAAGGGGACTGTGAATTCAACCGCATAGGATTCATTGCCATAGCAACCACACATGCTTCTAATTGGTCGAAATTTAGATATAGTCCAATTTTGATGAAAATTGATGTATATAGGGGTATTTAAGGGACTGCGAGTTCAACCACATATGTTTCATTGTCATAGAACCACACAGAGGCTTCTAATTGGTTGAAATTTAGAAATTGTTCGATTTCACTCAAATTCAGTTTGTACATTGTAGGTGTATTATTGCATTGCGATCCTTTTCTGATGCATCTATTTGACTATTGGGGGCAGTTTGGGGGACTTTTGTAATAGTCCCCCATTACAATTAGTACTTGTTTCAATTGATTTTGACCACTCTTGTTAACCACAAGGGAAGTATTCATGTACAGAGAATTTTATCGTGGGAATTAGAAACAGGAATACTCCGAGAAAACCAAAGTGGTTGGGCAGGTTATCTGTACCTTTTCATGGGAAGACTTCATTTCTGATAGGTCGTTTATCAAACTGTCACACAATGGTCCAATAGGAAAAATAAATCAAATAAGTTTATCGTTATGTTTTAGGGTGTTAAGGTAAATACTTTCGTTAATATTTACTGAAAAAATGTGCAATCGGAAATATGTAGGTAAAACTTGCTAGAGTGATGTATAATTTCATTATGCTTTCTGACTATCTGTTTTTGCATGCAGCTTTGTATTGTTAGTCAGTGACGTCTTGTTATATATATTTGCAGATGTCAGATTGATTTTGTTTGCTCTTGAGGCGAGTGAGTTTATAGCGTGCGTCATCTGCCACCTGTTTGATAGTAAATTTGATATTTAGTATTTAAATAGGAATTACTTTTTTTCAAGGACTACTCCTCCAGTGTTGGTAAAATTATTTTAACCCTATTGTTTGAAAAACATCTGTTGGCCGAGGAAATTAACTTTATGTATACAAAAGGCATCTCCTTCAAAGGAACAGGCTAAGAAAAAGGTTTAAATGTGAATCTTTAATAGACTTAAATCTTGAGTTAACTTAGTGAAAAGGATCAGTCGGTGTACGTATCAAAGGAAGGTGTGACTATTTAGGGGCAGAGGGAGAAGGCCTAATAGGGGAGATATTGATCAATCTTTGAAAGATTACGCCTTCAGTATGAAGGAAGGGTTTAAAACTTTATTTGGTACAAAGGGACATTGGAAAAAGAGGGACTAAAATTTGTGTATATCAAAGTATGTGGCCAACCTAAGGTTCCAGGGTAAAAGTTGGGGCCCAGAAGGAGTAATAAGGGATAAATCTTATAAAATACTACCATAGCTTGAAAAGAATGAAGAAAGTGTATGCAGTTATATTTAAGAGAAGTAGCACTTTAGAAAAATATACTGAGTGCTGTTTGAAGTACCATCCCACTATGAAATAGAACACCTAATACAATTAATGTAAAGAGAGGTACAAATGTGGAGGTACTAACCATAGGAACATTGGTTACCACCATGTTAAAGGCACCTCATATTGTACTGGTTGCATTAATTGACTAATTTGGTTAACTGCCCTTGAGTGGCTAATTCATGCTAGATGGGTCACTTTTTCAAATGTTGGATGATAAAAGTAATCATGATAATAAATCTTAATATGACTATTCTTCTAGAATGGGTGAAGGGGCGTTAACTTAATATGGCATAGTGCACCTGTGGGTCAAGGAAATAGGATTAAGGCAGGGGCATAGTGTATGGGCCTTACCTGGGCCTTACCTGGTAATAGTGGAGTTCAAACACAATAGCATAATAGTTGTCATTAAAATTTGTGATATAATACAGCATGTATGTAAATATTTGAATTATTTGAATACTTTAATTTCTAAATGTTTGCGTGTTTTCAGCACCTCCAAAATTATGACTTTCGCAGTATCTAATGCTATATTATCTTTTTGGTAATAAACTTTTAAGCTATTTGTATATGTCTGGTTGCAGAAAGAGTCTCGTTTGATATGTATACATTAATAAATTATGTAAAAGATTTAAGTTTTTCTGTTACAGATGGTGTGGATCTGAAGTTAGTGTTTATGGTGTTACAAATTGTGTTGGCCTGAAGTGTCAGCGATTGTGTGTAGATGGTGTTACACAGATATTAACGGCCTGATAAGTTGATAATTTCCTGTCTTTTGTTTTACAGATGGTTTGGGCCTGCAACATGTGCAAGAAGAAGCAGGACATTTTGGCCAAGACTGGACAGTGGTATCATGGTGGCATGGCCAAACCCGTCCAACTGGACAATCTACCACAGGGAGAGGGGCCAGCTGGACAGAACATCAGTCCCCCAAATGAAAAACGTCAGAAGATTCATGGGGAAGGTCCCGATAAAGAGAATTCGGAGGATAAAAAGGGTCACAAAATTGTACGGACAGGAAGTTTGCAAGGGAGAGAACTCAAGAGACAGTTTTCTTTGGATGCACCAAAAAACCATAGTGATAGATCAGGATCTCAAAATCTTACTCCAGACATGGCAGACAAAGAAAAAGGATCGCGTGACAGGGGTCATTTACCCTCGGAGAGGGGTCGAACCCGGGACCGCTCCCCAGCAGCCAATCGCCACCACAGTGAGTCTCGCCTTTCAGAGACAGACAGACGTTTTAATGCTCAAGAATGGAGAAACATTGAACAGGAATCTCGGTACCGGCGAGGGGACACAGGTCGTGAGCCTCGGTCTCGTGACCAGTCTAGGGACCCAGATCACATGGAAAAGGGAAAATACACGGATGATAAACGGCGAGATCCACGTGATGCACATGTCGATAGACTAATGGACGACAGGGATAGGAAAAGGGAAATATCTCGAGAAAGATCAAGGTATCGAAAGTTTTTTTAACTTTATTGAATAGATACAATCATCGTAACTTGCTTGAATTCTTATAAAAACAGTAGAATAAAAGAGAAATAGGACTTCAAACAGGAGTAGAATAACTACTAATTAATAGATTGACAAGCAGAGATTTTGTTGTTTCTATCTTGGACACTTTGTTTATAGAGTAAACTATTTTCACTTGTTAGAATGCATCCTTTTCTTTGTTTATTAGAAAAGGCTTCATTTTTCTGATCCAAGAAATTTATCACCTCTACCTTACTTTAGTTTTGGCAAAAGAAAAATTATTATTTATATCCATTGACATTCAGTTCCTACTTCATTGGAACAGGATCCATGCATGAATAGGAATGTGAACATTTTTAGAATAGTTCAAACTTTTGCAACAGGAGAAAGACAAAAGCACGGCCAGACACGGGTTCAAACCCGGGACCTTCCGAATTCTAGACAGACGCTCTACCAATTGAGCTACATGCATGGTCCCCAGCGATTGACACAATCCAGTTCTGCTACACTTCTCCCTTCTTTTTCTAAGTCTTTGCCCCCGCCTGAAGACACAACTATTTACAACCCTGATTCATGTATCTCCTTGCCAAGCATACATTCACCCAGTGCTTGAAACAAGGTTTGACATGCTCGCCAATTTTGTAACAGGAGAAACAGAATTGCATAGCCAGACCATGATTTGAACCCGGGACCTTCTGAACTCTCGATGGACCAGGGTGCTCTACACATTGAGCTACATGGGCACGGCTGATTGGCCCAGTCTAGTTTGCTTTACTTTAATAAAAGGCCTGCAACAGGCTTTTGTTCAAATGAATGACCTTGACTCATTTTCAAGGTCAAAGGAGTGATATGTATTAACAAATTCAAATAGTTTCTCCGGAACAATGGAATATACTGACATGCACAACTTGGTAGTATTTGTTCGGTTACTTGCTTGAGTGAATGGCTAATAAATTGTTGAAATTAATTACACTGACCTATTTTCAAGGTCACATGATATTTATGTAAATTTCAAGTGATTTCTTTTACAGACAAGTCCTGATAAAGAGTATTTTGTTCCCTATATATTATGTGCAATGCTAAAGTTTGTTCAAGTAATATATTTTCAAAATAACAAGTCATCATGTGATGAAAACCAGAGGTACAGGTTCACGTCCTAGTGGAGGCATTGAAAAATAAGGACCTAGTTTTGTTACATTGACACCCATGGGCATAGGATTCCAAAGATGCTTGTTCCTTTTCGTTTTTTGCACTTGTCTAGACCATTTGTTTATAAAGACCACTTGTCTGTAAAACCTATTGCTGATTTGTTTGTTTAACTGTCAATCAAAAATTGGAGAATTTGGCAATTCTGCAATGTGTAGGTAGCTTTATACCTAAATTAGTGATTGAGGTCAGGTAGTCAAGGCAGGATACCCAATTGAGGAGAATTGTTTAAGCTATTTATCTGGTTAGGTTTTAGGGACAGAATAGAGCTGTATAAACCCCTAGCATGATGGTAGGAGGCTCCTACTGTGGTACCTGATGCAGAATTGTGGGTTTCCTCTTTTGTTTTCTGCTTAGGGGTTATTGCAGAGACTAAAATGATCTGGTACCCATATTGCAACATTAGAGAACTTTACATACCGGTATTTTGTTTCTGTCTTCTGGACGCTCTTTCTTTTCGACAGTGTCTACTTATTACAAGACACCAGCTCTGGTGATCCAACCTGTACAGGTTTGGGGAAAATAAACGGGCTGTATTTCGCAGCATGATAAAATAGCCCGAGCCGAACATAGCGGGGGTCCCCTGTAGTATCAGCAGGTCTTTTTTTACTTCTGCTTCAGGGATGCTGCCTCGAGCTCTTCAGACCTTTTCCCGTTCTTATCTCCCTAATGTGCTCTTACTTTTTGGCATTTTTTCCAAAACAACTCTTGGCATTTTTATGCGCTCTAAAATGAAAATCTAACTGATAAATACTACTTACATTTTCATTATTTCAGGGGTTCCAGGGAGGAGCTTGGACGATCGACCAGGGATGGACGTGAGGATCGGTCGAATCGTGACCCCCGTGATTGGGAAGAGGGGTCACGAAGACGGGACGGACCCGGTGATAAACGCAAGGATAGACAGACAGCGCCGGTAGATAACCTGAATATCTACGACTTTGCAGATAAAGATAATAAAGGTTCAAGAGAAAAGTTGGACTCTCTTGAAAATGATAAGCGAAGAGTTCGGGACCCTCACAGTAAACCCGGAGGGTCACCACACTCGCGTGATAATACTCAGAACTCTAGACATTTAAATAATAGGCATCCCCGTGATAGGCTTGGTAGTGGTAGTAAAGACCGTCGGTCACCAACGACGGGAGATACACGTGAAAGACGGAAAGAACCGGAAATTTATAATTCCCATGTACGATCACCAAGTCTAAACCGACATAATATACGTATTGAGCGAGTAGGGGATTCCCCAACAGTAATGGAAGAACAAGTAGATCACGACAAATACCACGATAAAAAACAACATCTAGATCCCAGTACCGCCGCCACGGGACGTAACTCCCGCAGTAGAAAATTGGATATATCCATGTCTAGGAATGATTCTTTAAGCTCAGACCCCTCAGACTGTGCCAGACCGCCTCCCCCGAAACCCCACAAACACCGAAGGGGTAAAAAATTGCAACAGCATTCCATTAGTAGCTCCGACGATGAGATTCGCTCCACACCAGAATGCTCCAGCTGCGAAGAACCGGATTTGGAAATTGAAAGCGTCATAAGTGAAAAAGGTGATGAGTATAGTGTTTTATAACTACTTCCGGTTTATTTTGTGTGTTTATTCCAAGGTCAAGGTCACCTAATACCTGCTATTTATGTTTATTTTCAAACAAATTGGATTTTTATTAAATATTTCTTCAATGCTGGATCTAAGAACTTATAAAAAAAGGTAAGTCCATTTTAAATTTTTACTTAAGATTTTAATGCATAATTTTTTTTCAGGGCAACTACTGTATTTTGAAGATTTTTAAAAATCTAAAAAAAAAGGAATATACAATGTCAGAACGGACCCAATATTACAAGAGCCTGCATCACAATGTTTTATATGGATTTCTCTTGTTTGTTTCAACTAATGTTGTTTTTATCCGTCGTGGATTCGTAAAATAAATCAGGGATTACATATAAAATTGAGAATTTGCTATATTGCCTTATTCTATAATTAGCTATAATTAACATTGCACTGTTGTTTATAATGAGCTACAAAATTCATCATTTAGATTAAACAGTTTGTGTGTAAGTCAAGATAGTGATTTTTATCGACTAGAAACACAATTTACAACTCCCTGAAGCATAGTTTGCTTCATCATTTGAAGCAACTATGCATGAACAAGTTGATGCAGAGAATAAGATTTTTCTGTTAAGAAGACACTTCAAAGTTCACGATGATACTCAAGGTATAAAATATGTAGAGTTTAACTCTTTCACCCCTATGTTACTTTAGTAAACTCTACCATGCATTGATATGGATGAGTCCATTATGGTCTACAGTGGTGATAGGGTTAAGAAATAGGTGTCCCATTACTTCTCGCAAAACTCTTGAGATATGCTCAAATACTAGAAAAACTTATAATTTCATTCATTGCAGGAATTGAAGCAACTCAGTTTGAAGCTTTATCTGAGAATAGCTGAAGCAATACATTGTTATGTATTGAAGCATTTAAAGTCATATATTGTGATATGCTGAAAATATTTGAAGCAAGATATTTTGATGAATTAAAAAAACCCCAATGAATTGAAGTTAACACTTGAAGTGATCCATGATTTAGAAACTAGAGTTGAAGCCAACACTTGAAGCAGTGTTTTGTTCAGAAACTAAAATTATGAATAAATTAAGAAACTAAAATAATTAATAAAGACGTGAAGCGATGCATCGTTTAGAACTATAGGATTTTCAAAATATTTCAGTGATTGAATCTTTATGACAAAATTCAACTTATGAAGCCACAACAAAAACTGCAACATGTTGAACAAATTGCCATTGATAAGTTATATACAATAAACCCATCATAAGATCAAAGAAATATTGTGAGGTGTCATGCTGGGTTATGTACTTCAACAAACCAATTGACTAATCAATCAACCAATCTATCAATCAATTAATAAATTAATCAAATCAATTAATCTGCCAATTAAATTAATCAAGTTAATCAATCAAACAAATTAATCTGTCAGTTAATCTATTAATCAGATTGTCAATCAACGAGTAAGAAGATTTACCGGTCATTTATTCATCAATCAATATATCTACCAATTAGCCAATAATCAATCAGTCAGTCAATCAATCAGTCAATATATATCAGTCAACGAACCCATCAGTCCCCTATAATCAATTAAAAGATGAATTCAGCTGACTGTGAGCTTAGTAAGAGGCAACTAATGTTTGTCCCCTGGGTGACGTACGTCTTCTGTTTAGGGGACATCAAAGAAACTTCAATTGATCTGCTGGCCCCCATTGCAAAACTTTAGATCTAGGTCTTTTCTTACTGCGTTGGCCAACTGGTTAAGGCGTCTGACATTCCGCTACCACTAGCCCTCCACCACTGGGTCGCGGGTTCGAGGCCTTAGTGGGGCAGTCGCCAGATTACTGGCCGTTGGTTGGTGTTTTTTTCTCCGAGAACTCTGGCTTTCCTCCACCAGCAAAACCTGGCACGTTCTTAAATGACAATAGCTGTTAATAGCATAATAACAATAACATAATAACATAAATAAACCAAATCTTTTCTAACTTCCCTAAAAAAAAAAATGTGTGTCTCTCTAATGGCAACGGTCTTCATCGTATATCACCTAATTAGCTTTGTGATGACATTAAACCACAAACAAACCAAATAATACTCACTGAATATGACTTTGAATTCCAAAAATAACACTGAATGTAAATATTTGAGTAAAAAATATGATTGAATATGAATGTTTAGTAAATTAATGAATGATTGTTTATAGCTGTTTCATTTCAAAGCTGACTGAAGTTGACTAAAAAAATGGTTATGACTTTGAATTTGAAAACTAATTGAGTATATGTTTGAGCTAAAAGCTTACTTATGTGACTTTTTCACTTAAACTCTTGATGAATGTGACTCGGAGTTAAACTTAAAAACTGCATTTGACTTTTTAAGCTAAAAACTGACGGAATTTGAGTGTTGGAGTTAAAAAAAGTCTGAATGGGACTGTTTGGATAATTAAGCTAAAATATTGACGTTATTAAAAACTGACTGAATATTGAGTGTTTCAGTTAAATCTGAATTAATTTTGAGTTAAAAATCAAATGTGACTGATTGACGGTGCAAATTTTTACATTGGACAAGCACTGAAGACTTACTGGATAAGGAATATTCTTACATGTATATTTGACCATTGCCTTTAATTTGCACTCTCTATTAAACCATTTTTAGCTAGATCAATGTGTTACTTAATGAGGTCGTCAAATTACATACAAAAAATATAGGATCAGCGATAAAGCAAATACATACTCTGATCTATAAGTGAATGTGGTATGTGTGTAAACTAATTAAGCTTTAATTGGCGCTAATTACCTGCATCATCACGCAATGAACAGAATCTAAACGTATAAATATACCTATAAAAATGTATATAGCTGTGTCATTTCCGTCATAGTGTCACTATAGGTATTATTAATGAACTATTCTGAAATAAAAACTAAAAGACGTATTTCTACCTATATAGAAGAATAAGATTTTTCTGTTAAGAAGACACATCAAAATTCTCGATGATACTCAACCCTTCCACCCCTATAATGTAACTTTAGTAAACTCTACCATGTATTGATCTGGATGAGTCCATGTTGGTCTACAGTGGTGAAATTTAAGGGTAACATGTCTCGTGTTAACATTTTATCTGAACCATGCATGTGGCCAAGTTGTTAAGGTGTCTGATCATCTAGGATCACTAAGCCCTCCACCAATTCAAGTTGTCAAGGTGTCTGATCATCTAGGATCACTAAACCCTCCACCAATTCAAGTGCCCTGGGTTTGAGGCCTATAACTGGGGCAGTCGCGGGTACTGGCCACTGGTCAGTGGTTTTTCTCCGGGCATTCCTCTTTTCCTCCCCCACCAAGACCTGACACATTCTAAATGACCAAAGCTGTTAATAGGACGGTATTATATATTTATATAAATAAAGCCCAGACAAACCAAACCAATCCTGGTTGTCACATATATCAGTGACATTTCACCTTCTTTCTGTAGAAGTATTATTCCAAATGAGTCGATACCTCCTGTGCAAATTATGTATACATGAATGAGTCAATTGATCATGCACATACATGTATGGACTGTAGTATACAGCAGACCCGACCCACTTTATTTTTTCCACTGACTAATTTATGAGTCATCAATATCAATTCATATTTTCATAATTATTTTTTCTCTTAATTTCATGAATAATTTTGTGCTTGATGTCATTCATAATGTACTTTGGCTATATATATTAGCTACTAAACAGTTGGTATTATGCACAGGGCATTACATTTCATTCCAACTAAAAGTTATAAAATGTTATTTGACAAATATTATGAAAAATAAAAAATAAATTAAAACTTACATTAATCACTCTTGGCGGTACAGATGTTAGCGTGCAGGGGGTCTTAAAGTGGGAGTGAACCATAATACCCGGAGAAAACCAATGTGGTCGGGCAGGTGTTCTCATACCATTTCATGTCCAATCAAGGAATCAAACCCAGGCCAAGTGCGTTATATAATATCCACTGTGGCATCCAAATTTCCCTATATTCAAAGATTGTGTCAAACTTAAAACCCAGCAAATGTTACTTCTGTGAATTATAATCATATAGTGACTATATATATACAATCACACAACAAATTGTAGACATGTTTGCCTCTTTACTGTCCAAAAACCAAGTCAACCAAACTTCAATGCTGCGATGTGTCAATATCAGTTTGATGTCAAACACCCCCCTCCCAGGGTAGTTATTAAAGAATTAAGTTAAAACGTCTTTTTCACTTTGGACACGCTTAAACTGAATAATGAAAAAAAAGGCCTATGAATTGGACATGTCCCTGACTCTATGGTTGTCCCATGCTTATCTTATTTACTTGTAGACCAATCAGTTTACCCTTTACCTTCAATGTATATGGAAGCTTAATTAAAGCTCTGTCAGTGACCACGAAGTTGGACTAGACTGTGTTGCGTAAAATTTAAACCCCCACAAAAATAGTTCCAATTGAGACAATCGCCAAATATTAGCCCCGTGATATTAAACAACTGTACAGTTATGAAGAGTTTGTTTATGCAACATCTTAAAGAAAACTAGTGTACAGAGAGGTAGAATGATTTTTTTTGTAATGAAATTGGGGGGGGGGGGGGGGGGGGGGGGGCAGGAACCAACATAGATAGAAACACTCAACAAACACAGTTTTTAAAGTTTAAAATTTCATTGATTTTGAAAATATTTGCAAGAAAATAATTCAATGCAACTTATCTAAATCTAACATGGTTTAATATTCTAGACTAGGTAATATAAGTAAGGCATGTACCTGTTGAACTCAAACTGACTTTACACCACCTGTCACAAAGATTACTGTGTACAAATCGTGCTGGCTGATGTAAAAATAGATCAGTCATGTGACCATGGATGACTAATATGATCCCATTTTATACCTTGACATGTATTAGACAGATAGGTGTTGGTATTTATTTTCTGGAGAATTTCGATTGTGTTTATTTAAGAGTTTGACCTCTGACCCTCTCGATCTGGTAGGTAACACTAGATCACCGGTAAATATTGGAATAGCGATTAAAAAAGAGTTTCACATAAACACTTGGATAGCAATGCCAAATTCCCCGTAATTAACACCCAGAGTTGTTTGAAAATTGCCATGGTGATGCACTGCAATATGTTATGCTCAAAAGGGGTCCAAGAGATTTCTAAGGTCAAGGTCACTGTTACTGAAGAGAATATTGGGGGTGTTACAGCTAGGCACATGACAGAGAACTTGCTGATGTGTCAGCGTTTTAGTTCTCGGAAATCACATTTTAAAAAGTTGGCCCTGTCATATGCTAGATATATTGATAGCGAAAAGCAATCTTAAGGATCGCCGAACGGGTACCTTTGGCATAAGCTGGAACAAAGTGTTGGAAACCTTTTTTCTGGCATGACTCTAGTTTTGATAAATCATTTCTGAAAGAAAACCATACCTGCAGGACTTTTTTGAGAAATAATAAAGATGAAATAAACAAAATATAATCAACAATAGGGTTCTGAATGGAAAAAAACCCAGCAGCGAGGCTAGACAGGGATTTGAACACTGGAATAAAGATTGATATACTATCTCTCTAACCAACTATCTGTTCAACAGAAGTGTCATGGCAAACTGTGCTACAGTTATATCCAAACAGAAGCTAAAGGGAGGTAATAGCTATATATGAAAAACAACAGCGTGGTAGGACTGCAGGGATCCTTTCTCTCAGGTTATATATATATATATATAGTGACCAACACTGGCATAGTCTTTATGATGTTGCCCAATACCAACTTGACTTTATCAAGACGATTTTGGCCAGTACAAACTTTACCCTGATATACAAAAATTGATAGATAAAAACTGGCCATGACAATTATACATAACCTTGACCAACACAATCTTTATGTTTCTTACACAGGCTACTTCTGTAGATTATATGGGTTTAAGCATCCTATTAACAACCAAGGTAGTTTAAGGTTATTCCTCCATGCGTGTATAGTGTGTGTGTGTGTGTAATGTTTATGTGCTGGATGTAGTATGTTGGTATTTGCCTGTCTGCGATAGTGCGAATCAGATGCCAACTTTAGAGTGCTTACTTCACTGAAATACCATTCCAAAGACATGCATCCAGCAGAGTATTTCACCTAGGCGCATTAATATTATACTGACAACAGATTTACCAGTCGTTGCAATTACCCTTAATACTGAGCATTTCAGCAGGGAATAACACCTATACCATTGGTATGTCCTGACTTGGGGGGGAATAACACCTATACCATTGGTATGTCCTGACCTGGGGACAAATCCTAGTGCCTTCCTTACTTTTGCCAAAGGTGAGATGTTGCCAAACTAGGCGCTAGGAAATAAAAGGTTGTTCGTAAGTGAAAATATAAAGATCCAAAATATCTCCATGATCGCAGCAGATTTATTTTGGTCACTTTAATTTTTTGTCCCCAAGTAGGTGATAAACAAAAGTAAACCCCCATTCTGCTGGGGTGTCCTTTTTAGTCGCCTTCTACAAAATACATGTGTATATTTTTTCCAAATTCCTGACCTGAAGGGTTGTTTTATGCACCATGCACCTTGACACATTATCTATATCTTGACATATTTTTATAAACTTTAAATCATTCACCCCTGAAGACACATTTGAACACTTCCAATTCAGTGGTTGGAATAGTTCATTATATGATTTAAGGAGTGGGTTGAGTTAAGGATAAATGTCACATGGTGACATACATGTAAATCTCTTTTCCAAGAGAGTTCCTCACTAAGAATCATGGGAACTATTTTGTTAAATAATATGTTCATTTATTAATATAAAGACATTTTCCTCTGTGCCTGTAAGTGTAGGAGCTTCCCTTTTCTTAGAATTAAAAAAACAGACCCAAGTTGCCATTACTGTACCAACATTTCAGAGCTTTATGTTTTCTTTTATCTTTTGTTAGACTATTGTCGGAATTTCACCAGGCCTGTTGTCTCACTATCGTAACCAGATTACGGCAATTCAGTCCATTGAGTTGCTTTGTCATCTGTTGACATTGTCTTTATATGACTTTGGGGGGATAACTTAAACAAATAAAAGATGTTGAAATTGAAAGTCTTGCATATTCATAGACTGAGTTAATTTTAAATTTGTACAAGGTAATATCGTAAATAAAAAGTCATCAAAGCCGATTATTGCACGAAGTTAAAGCTTAGATTTATGTATCATATACCCTTAACTCTAAAACATGACACATATAATATGTGTGTGACTTAAGCTTGTATCCTAAATTCTAACACATATCACACGTACAATGTGAATGTAGCTTATATCTGAACTTGACCACAAACCATAGGTAAAATAAAAATGTAACAAATATATTCCTAACTCTATGATATCCTAAAAGTGTAATATGTAGAATCGGAAACGCAAACTAATGGGGAAAACATCCCTTAACCAAGCATTTTCCATAGTTTTCACTAAACTCAAAGATAAGACTAAATAGACACAAAGCAAGTAATTGTGAAAAGTCGTACACAAAAACTAATAGCCATGCATTGCAGGTTTATCAAAATATATCTATTTTGAATTCAAAATGAGTATTTTTTAATTTGCCAAACATTTCCCTTAGATTTTGCTTACCACAAAGTTAAGAGTTAAGAGATAAGAGTTAAGGTTGGATTGAGTTTAAACCTATTAAAATAATATCCATGATAACCATTTTATAATTACTTTAGTAAATTCTTTATTTATTACAGCTGCAAATCTCATGTAGTATATAGCAATGTGATGTATAGCTTTATCAAGCAAGTGTTATTTCCCTTGTTTAGAGAGCATTGCAGGTAAAAACAACATGGAGACTGGAGAGCAAAAAGGAATTATTCTGACCTCATTTTTCTGTAAATTACAAAATAATTCAATAATGTTTGTAACATACTTTTTTTATTGGTTTGTGTGTTTTGTGAGTTGAATCTATCAAGTGATAGACCAAATGAAGGCGTCATCTGTAACACTTGAAAAATGGTCTACAACCATGTCTTCTGACATCAGGAATTGGAGCATTATTCATGAATTTAGAAAAGATGACTTGGACATATTCTCAATGACCTATACATTATATGGCCTTATGCATGTCAGTATTTGCCCCGGCTCAACTTGTCCTGGATTTGAAACACGGCATTTGATAGATCAAGTACATAAAAATCATTGCCCCATTCATAGAAAGTATGTTGCATTATTTCTGTTGTAACTGAAAATGACACTTTTTAATTTCTGATTTTGGATTTTAAGGATTGCAGACGAGAACCGAAGCAGTTTATGTAAAGATGCACATTGGAATTTGGTCTATACATCAATATAGACGAATCTATTATCTAGTCTAATCCTTAACCCTTTCACCCCTATGTACTTTTAGTAGACTCTTCCATGCATTGATCTTGATGAGTCCATTATGCTCAACAGTGGTGAAAGGGTTAAAAGTTCGAAAAAATTGTGTGACCTACATTTATAATGAAATTTGACAATTACCTAAATTTAACTCAGAGTTAAGTTATTGATGAAGTATGTTGATATTAACTGTAGGAGAGTTTGAAATGGGAGAGGAACGCTGGAGGAAAGATGAAATACTAGCAGCAAAAATCAAAAAGTTTTTATCGGTGAGTTATCTGCCCTTTGCATGTGAAATGGTGCAGATGGAGGTTGGTTGTTGCCACACATGCCAAACATGCTTGCTGTCTAGTAATATACTGTTGTTACAATGTACATAAACATATATATGGTGATATGTCTACTGGAGTGACAACCAATCAGCATACACTTCTTTAATGACATTCAGGGTCAAAGGTTCTTTATATAAACTATGACCTTTCATAACGACCTCTGATCTTGTATCCTATATGGGTACAATGTTTGTTTTGTGGTTAATTCATTTAAAAAATATTCTCTGAAAACAGTTTATTGTAATTTTGAAAATTGGTAATTAAATGGTTTTTTTTTTTTAAATTGTCCATGTATTGTATTTTGGTTGTCATGAAAGTAAGAGGTTTCTGTATTGTATAAGATACTTAAAAAGTGATGTTTCTTGATGAGGAATGCATTTTCCTAATTAACCTAAGGGAGGCAACTCATTTTACATGCCTAAAATTTTACAAATGACCATGGCCATTTCAGGAAACATTGCTTAGGTATGGGTCACATTAGTTGTTAGAACAAAATATCTCAGCTGTCTTTTTCAGTGTCTCTTATTTTTGTTTAAAAAACTCCCTTTTGTAACAAAATTGATCAAAGATCTTTTTAGGTCAATTAAATGCTGTGTGGCAGTACAAAATGGATTAATCTGAGATGGACAGCAGGGATGTCAATGTTACGGCCTTTTTAGGAAAAAATATGATAAATGTCCAATTCTTTTGATGGGATCTATATATAATTGAAAATTAATTTTTAGAAAAAACATGTGTTACATGATTTTCAAAAATAGTTTCCCATCAAATCTTTTAAAGGGAAGTAATAATAAAACACCAAAAATAAAAATAATATTACTTTTTATTTTATTTTCATAAATTTTATTAGAAAAATAAAAATCCTCTGTTTCTAATCAATAAATGAAACCCCATCCAAATTTTTTGGGGGGATGTGTGACCATCAAAAAATCTGTACATTTATCATAAAAACACTTTTGGTTTGATTTGTAAAGACTATACGCAGCTTTTGGATTCAGTATTGCTTTAATTTTTCGTTTGCAGGGTCTGCTCTTGCAGGCAGCTGTAGGCAGCAAGCTAGTAGGTACCGTCAGGTCTCCCAAAGTCAACTCTCAATGACTAAAACCAAACGCTCACATTGTTCAGAGGGCAAGGGAAAGGTCAAAACAGCTGAGCAAGACGCTCGCTGGGCTGAACATCAAATTAAGGACTCGGGAATTGACACCGGGCATTCGAGTAGTAGCCAAACTCTTAACGAGGACATATACAAATGCAAGGTACATAAAGCATTATATGTATGAGAAGAATTAGTTATTTAAAAAAAAGTTTTTCCTTCACATCCTAGTCTCACGAAATTTGAAATCCAGCATTTAGAGTCCATATAGACATGAACAAATAAAATTCGAACTTATGCTTAGTTTTGATATTTTATAAAAAAAATAAGAAACAGCTTAGTTGCATAATAATTTTCTCAAGTGTTTCAAAAGATTAAAAGAAGGATTGTAAATATTAATTTTTCATCAAATATTTAAAAAAAAACATCCTAATTTTTTTTATAGGATAGATGATGGAAAATTTGTCATGGCAAACATTTTAAAACCGGGAATTTTCCATTAAATCTCTATAACTTTGTCATGTATTTAGTGTCATATCCATTGTCTTCCGCAGCAGATTTTTCCCATAAATATTGAACAATTGGCAGATTGAAACATTATACTGTGTAATAGAATGTATTTTATTTTTAATTCAGATTTAATCTATTTTAATTTAAATATAAATATGTGTGACTATTTATCTCTATTTTGACTTTCTTTTTCTGTCTCACTTCATTCCAGGGATCCAAAAGTGCTTTTAAAGATTTGAAAAAAAATAACCACACAATTCTGGTAAATTAAATTATTTTGGGAATGTTTTGAAATAGCTATATCAAATTTTAAGATATATTTATTATATTTGGATTTTTTTTCTTTTCTGTTGGCCCTCAAAGAATATTTCTGCACAAAAAGTTTTCATTTTTTTTCTCTCCTTTTTATAGCACAATTTGCTAGCTAAAGTTAAAATTAAATTCTACAAAGTAATGTAGAAGATTTAAGCAATCCTTTCTTATATTTTTTTCTCTTTAAAAATGATGCACTTGTCATGTTTTCTTTAAGGGTATGAAAAACTTTGGCCGTTTGATTTGTAGTTAAAAAACGTAAAAAAAATACCCATACTGAAATTAAGATTACTGCCACCAAGGAATTTTAAAAATGAAGAAAGAAAAAAGGTTATACCTGTTCAAGCATTATGGTATCAGTTTTGTGACACATCAATTTATTTTCTACCTATCACTATATACATTAAGTTTGCTGTCACTTATCCTTTTGAGATTTATTTTCATAATGTAGTTTGATATTATTTGTATTTGATTGACTACACTGAGATTGCAGAGAGATGTGGCTTTTAAATCATCCCTGAATTAATTTCATTATAGCAAGCGTTTGTATCAATGTGTTCTGTCGTTTTATGTTCTTGCAGTTTATGGCATATCTGAAATTTATTTGATTTTAGAAAACAAAAGTTTATCCTTTTTATCACAAGAAGTTTATCTAGCATGGATAACATCTATATCTACTGCTTAAAGGAATACAGTAAAACAGCTAGAACAAAAATTTTGAAAAAATTTAAGCAACATAATTTCGTTTTATATTTTATTATTCATTCCATCTTTGTTATGATAATATGGTAAATAAGCGAAACATTTTTAATATAAAATCGAGAATCAAAACAAATGACTCGGTGGTAAACCTCCAAACACATGTGGATACTGGAAAATTAACTATCACACTGTATATTTTTGAGTTTGTGAAAGGTTGCAAAAATTCAAGAGCGTTCCAAATTAAACTAATTGTAAAAGCAGGCATGTTTATGAGATTTGAATTACACATACTTGTATCAAGGGTATTCCGTCTTTGCATATTGCAGAGTTATCTTCTATGGGGAGCAGGTATTGATTGTTACGTCACTTGTTTGTGAGAGTAACATCATCAATTTTTGAGAAAACGACGTAATTTTCTCACACAAACCAATGACCTAACAATCAATACCTGCTCCCAAGAGAAGATAACTCTGCAATACGCAAAGACGGAATACAGACAAGATAATCATTTTTAAAACTGGGCACAGAAAACATTTTATGAACAATAAAAATGACAAGATCAAATCATAATATTAATATGTGAAGACAGATATTGTAATAATAATATTTCACCAGATTATCTATTTTTATAATATGTTGAATTTCTCTCTGATTTATAAAAATAAGAATAAAAAAACCTGGTTCATTGAAATTTTGTATAAAATTTGATAAGTAAATAAAATTGGGCAAAATCGTATGGCTGTTTTGTTGTATAAAAAGTTACGCTATACATATATGAACATATAACACTTTTTAATGATTAAGCGATTAATCGGATTTAAAACATGATTAAAATAGATATGAACAAAAAACTTGGTGCGACAAAAAATGTTTTGTTATAACCATGTAATTAATTGTGAGGTGGAAATATTAAAAACAAAGATGGTTTTTGTCCATCGATTTATAGATTCAAGGTCAGGAAGTCCCTAAAAACTGACATAAGAGGTCAAAGGTCATGTTGCCTTGCTCTCATTGGTGCCTGCCTAACTTCAGCTGCTTTCAAGTGTCTGACTCATGTATTAGTTTGCATGTTTTGTGCATGAAAACTAACTATTTTTATTATAGCTCGTGTCTTATTTGATCAACGGTATTTATAAATTGTACTCTCATGTAAAATTCGTTATTCATTATTTGTATGTTTGCATTTACTTTGTTTGTCTAAATGTATTTTCATAATAATAATAATATTACAAGTCACATCTTCACGTCCTTTTTAACTTATTCACCCCTGAAGAAATATTTGAACTCTTCCTAATTCAAAGGTTGGAATAACTCATTATGAAATATCAGGGGTGAATGAGTTAAAACAATAGGTGTTTTATGCATAAAAGGCCTTTGTCTGGTTGTTTAACTTCTGTTAGTGTGATTTCGTATAAAACTCTAGCCACAAACTCCTTTTAAATGTCACTTAATAAGGGATTTGATTTCTATTTAGTTGTAATAGCTTCAAAAATAAAAAATAAAGTTGTGGGAATGCTGGATAATGAGTATGAGAATATAACAATGTTATGTACAGAAAATTTAACTCCATTTTGAGAGCATCCCCGAAATTCCTTGGATTACGTATACAATCACTTGCATTCTCTGCACCCCTGGGATGTGTCATAAAAAATCTAAGGCACACGCTGCTAGCTATGTGATTGGTCTCAAGTTAAAAAAAGGCCGCTCGCTAGGCTGATACCTGTCCTTTGAAGATTACAGAGGAGCGACACCCGACTTCAAAGCCTGTTCATTTTACCTTTTGATGTACGTCAAAGAAACAAACTAATCAACTTATATCATTCATTAGGTGGCGCATGCAGAACGTTAAATCTTGTCATGACGTATTTAGGGGGATCAGAGAATGTAAGAGAGTTCAACCCTTGAAATGTCGAAAATAGCTTTACATAGGATTCCATTAACACATTCACCCCTGAAATTTCATAATTAACTATTCCAACTTTGAATTGGAAGAGTTCAAATGAGTCTTCAGGGGTGAATGAGTGAACACCTGGACATTTGTAAATCTGTATATTATATACTGTATCAGTCCAAGTACATCTGTGTGTCCTGAAATCATTCTGTTACCCTTTAAGACCGTTGATGGATTATCTAAACATTCATAGGAAACAAAAATCAGAATTCTGAAACATAAAATCACTGATATATTTTTCATATTTGAAATACAGGTTATGAAGAAATCTGGAGATCCCCCTTTAGCATCCCATTAAACTTTGTTGTAATTGTCGTCAATTTGCGTGTATGAGATCTTTTTTGGCAAAATTAAACAAACTTTTAATAATGACGGGTGGAAATAGCGTAGATGTCATAGAAAATTATATTTCCCCTAAAAGCAGAGACATGCACAATGAATGACCTATGCCACAAACATAATGCTGTAAATCTTGTCTACCAAAACAAAACATTGATTACCAGCTGGGGTACCTCACTTTTGTATTTTCTGGGGTTTCACTTTTGACCCCTCCACTTCCTTATACAATTTACAAAAAACGAAGGTTCCCATAAGTGTCTTTCAAAAAGGAAGTCCTCCCTCTCCAGTTCTTACTGATCCCGCTGCAGTTCCTCTACTTCTGATACCTTTTCTACTCCTCATGTTGCTTCTTCACTCTTTCAGCTGCTGATACACCTTCACCTGATATGTCTCATGCATGTCATCCTCAAGTATTGCTTTCTCTCATCTTCTTCTGCTACCTGCCCTTGCTGCTTCACCAATTAATATGTCATTCTCATTGACCATCAACTTCTCAGTGATGCTCATCTTCTCCTCATCCTGGCATCTCTGTGTCTTTATCCTACACCTCTCACCTGTATTTGGTTTATCGATAGTGATGCTGCTTCTCTTCTTCCTCTTTATATTCTTTTACCATTCTGATTGACGCATCTGATCCTTTTCCTGTTTATATTCTTTGGCTTGTCCACCTGCAGCTAAACACCCTCTTCCTCTTCTGTTACAACTCTGACTGCTGCTAGTGATCATATTCATCTTTATTTCCTCTTTTTGTCCAAATGCTGCTCAATGCACTCTTCATTCCCTCCTCTGTTACTACTCTGATTGCTGCGTCTGATTCCCTTCATGTTCTGATGTTTATCAAACTACTACTTAAGACTCTCATCTTCCTCTGTTATTTCTCTCACTAGTACTGCTGCTTATGATTCTCTCCTTTTTCTTCATTTTCTGCTTCAAGCCCAACTGCTGCTAAATACTCTATTCTCCTCTGTTATTTCTCTGACTGCTGCTAGTAATCCTGTCTTCCTCTTCCCTTTTCCTGATGTTTGTCTAAATGCTACTAGAGACTCTTTTCCTCCTCTGTGCTTTCTCGGACTCCCTGATTCTCTGTTTCTCTTCCTCTTCATGTTTTGATGTTTGTTCAACTGCTGCTAAAGACTCTTTCTTTCATCTGTTACTGTTCTGACATCTCCTAACAATCCTCTTCATCTTCATTTTCTGCTGTTTGTCCAACTGCTGCTAAAGGTTCTTTTTCATCCTCTGCTATTACTCTGACTGCTAGTGATACTGTCTTCTTTTTCCTTCTTCTGCTGTTCGTCTAACTGCTGCTAAAGATTCTTTTTCATCCTCTGCTATTACTATGACTGATAGTGATCCTGTCTTCCTCTTCCCTCTTCTGCTGTTCGTCTAACTGCTGCTAAAGATTCTTTTCATCCTCTGCTATTACTATGACTGCTTGTGATCCTGTCTTCCTCTTCCCTCTTCTGCTGTGTGCATGTCCAACTGCTGCTAAAGATTCTTTTTCATCCTCTGCTATTACTATGACTGATAGTGATCCTGTCTTCCTCTTCCCTCTTCTGCTGTTCGTCCAACTGCTGCTAAAGATTCTTTTCATCCTCTGCTATTACTATGACTGCTTGTGATCCTGTCTTCCTCTTCCCTCTTCTGCTGTGTGCATGTCCAACTGCTGCTAAAGGTTCTTTTTCATCCTCTGCTATTACTCTGACTGCTGCTAGTGATCTCCTTCATGTTTTCTGTTTCCCTGTCTGCTGCTATTGGTCCTTTCCTCTCCAATATTTGGTTGTTTGCTGTTTGTAGCAGTTGATCTTATTCTTGCTGCTTCTTCACTTCTCTTCTTCTCAGTTTCTCAACTCTTGCTACTGCCACTCCTTGTCTGTTGCTGTTGCATATTGTATAGCTATTTTTTCTCCTCCAAATTTTTTTATTTGCTACTGTTCTACATGCTGTTGATGCCAATGCTCCGACTTAAGTTAATACCATTAACTTTTCAACTTTCACCCTCAAACTTACATTTCTCAAACTGTTCATGCAACTTTCTCCTAATTGCTCTTCCTTCATTTCATCCTATTTTTACTGTGGAATGTCATTCAAAAGACAGGAAACTTATTGCTCTGGGATACCATTTTAAATTGAGAAATTGTACTACTGTGCAATCTCGCTTCGGAGAAAGGAACCCTTACTGTATTTCCTGTGGGAAAGCACTTTAAAGTCAGAAACCTTCCTAAGGCGGAATCTCACTCAGAAGACATTTTTTTACTGTGGAATCTCACTCAAAAGACATTTTTACTGTGGAATCTCACTTAGAAGACATTTTTACTGCGGAATCTCACTCAGAAGAAAGAAGGCTATTCCATTTGACTACGTGACCACCCACAAAGACAGGATTGTCATGAAAGGAATGTCATGTTCATGAAATGCTCAAAAGGACAGTGGGTTTATTAGTGTGGAAACTCAATGAAAAAAGATGGACATTATTGCTACTGAACCTCACTCAAAAAGACCAAAATATTTTTACTGTGGAATCTAACTCAAAAGACATCAATCTTGTGACCGTGAAATAACGCTCAGACGACAGGACACTTGTTTCTGTGGAATATATTACTCAAATATTCCACAGATGGAAACTTTCTTACTCAGGAAACTTTCTTACTCAAAACAACTGGATAGTTAAAACTTTGGAAGCTTACTCAAAAGATTACTGATCCAGAAACTCAAAAAGAAAGAGGAATCTTGTTTCTGAATATGATAAGTAGTAAAAACACCCTTTTGTTAAAAATTAGACACTGAAACAAGATTTGGTGCAACCATATTGAACGAAAAATTCACCATATTCAACCTATCTTTATTACAAAGCCTTGAATGTTATAATACACAGGTTCAAAGCTATTCGAAATTATACTGTTAATTGTCTACAAATGACAAATTGCCAGAACAATTCTACAAAATACTACACTGTCTTATGGCATGGGTATCAAATGAATAGGAAGTGATGAGTCAACCTTTTCCAGCCCGGACTTACATTACAAACAAAATCATTGATAGGTGCACTCCTAAAAAAGACTGACATATAAAAAATGATTCTTCAATAAGTACAATCTGAACTTAACAGAATGGTGTGGAAAAGTGCTAAAATATAATTACCACAAAAATATATAAGGTTACCGTATGTAGTTTATTTTTAAAAAGATTGATATACTGGACTAAATTTGTGTGCAAAGATGTCAGATGAACACAAAAACTTGAAAATATTCATGAAAAATTATTGGATGAACACAATTTTTTTGTGTTTTTGTTTTGTTTAGCTCATCAGGTTCCTAAAGGACCATTTGAGCTTAGGCCTTAAATAAGCATAGCAGCTGTCAACAACTTTTTGTTTAAAAGACTACTTGTCCAAAATGACCACAGAAGTTTTGATAAGATTTAGTACATGTACAATATGGAAAATCTCTGAGAAGCGAAAAGGATTCAATAGTGTGTAAATAAATGGAGTTGGAAAGGTTGAGCTGAATAGTTTAAATAAGGGTAATGTTTTAGAAGAATACACTTTGAGAATGTGCGATTGGATTTTAACCTAAAAAAGCATCATCTGAACAACGAGGATTAATTTAGTGATGTAAAAAGGAAGCTCCCTTTGGGGAAGATGAGTGGGGTCCAAAAGGGAAAATAGGGTAAATATTCTAAGAGTTACTCTTAAACTCATTCACCCTTGAAATTTCATAATGAACCATTCCAACCATTGATTTGGAAGAGTTCAAATGTGTTTTCAGGGGTGAATGAGTTAATTAATTTGGTATTATGAAAAATAACTACACTAAATGTTGTACAAAACATCCCTGAACTTTATACTGTTTACTGGGAAATTTTGCTACAGTTTAATTTTCGCCTTTTTTGCCCTCCGTAACAAGGGCGTGACATAACATATGTAGTAATTTGATGTGAAGGGTGAAATTTACACTTGGTGAAAATAGAGTTTTTGGGAAAAGGGTGAAAGTTTCACAGATATAATTTTTTTCGGTATAAAGTCGATTTTAAAGGGATGTGGGTTGAGTAAAGGAATATTCTGAGTGAGACATTTTCAACTCTGTGGTTCTATCTTGTCAATTTCAGCTTATGTGTGTGTGTCTGGGTGGGGGTGATGGTGGTGGCTCCGAGTTAATTCAATATTCAATATAGCCATTCTGTTTTCTAAATCTCTGAGATGCTTTCAAATAATTAAAATTGATAACTTCCATGAGATTATATTTTACATGTGTTCATAACATTGCTCAAGCCAAGTATTTGTATTATAATTGAGTTGTTCATTTAGTTATCTGTAATGGTAATCATGGTTCGAAATTGGGAAAACCATTTAAAAAAGGGGGTCCTTGCTCAGGTATAGCAGGTGAGTGACACCGGCCTTAACATGCCTGTTATTTTCTTGCTGATTAACAACCAGATACTGAATTCAATTATATATAAAGTATCTCTGTCCCACTGCAGAATAAACCCACTAGAGAATTTCACTGTTGGTTTTCATTGATAAAGTTACCTCCCCTTACTTTTGTTTGGCTATAGTAGGTACCCCGTGTGTTTCAGCTACGATGTTGTGATCAGAGGTCTAGAGTTCAAATCCAGGTGTGGCTCAGTGCATTTTTAACTCTCAAAACACTGTTGTTAATTCTGTTTATTTCATCTTTAATTCTATTTTGGTAAACTTCCGTAATGGTTTCTTTTTCGAAATGATTTATTAAATATATTTTCATGCAAATAAAAATGTTTCTGAATTATAGTTTTAAGTTTTTGGCAGTGGTACAGGGATCCTTAAGATACATTGGATAGTGTAAGTATAGTCACAATGTATTAAAACACCATTAACTCACTCACCCTTAAAGACACATTTGAACTCTTCCAATTCAAAAATTGGAATAGTTCATTATGAAATTTCAGGGGTGAATGAGGTAACTACTTAGCCTTGTTTTGGTACACGTTTTGTGTTTAATTTCTTCAGCATCCAGTGACGTGGCAGACATCTGCAGACGGAGTGAAAAGGATCGGTCACATGATACTGAAGAAAACGGTTTTGGAAGGTACGGGAAAAGACGACTCTGGTGCGATCTTGGGTGAGTAGACAGGCCCCGGGGTAGGGAAATATTTGATCAGGGTGGGGCTCTCGATGGAGAACAAAATAATATTCCTTGTACATTACTATATATAGACTTACCGCACTTGTACTCAGCCACTCATTATTCATCTGTTTACGGAAGGGTATCAACTTTCAGTTTCAGGAGCATTATCATAGATATTGATTTTACAACATGATATTTAGTCAAAATAAAATTACAAGGGGGATAGGAATTGAAAAAGAAGTATGTAATTGTCAAGGTCATTTTGAAAGATATTTTTTCAAGGAGGGTTCAAAATCAAAAATGGTGTACAGGTATGTAATCGTAATAGTCATATTTAAAGAAGAAAATATTTACCTTAAAACAAGGTCTTTAACTTAGTAACAAAATGTGGATTTGGAAACATACAAAAAATCATTGCTTTCATGTTTTGTAAACATTTCAAACATTTGTTTTAATATATAAATTTTTTCACAATAATTTTTTATCATTATTAGTTCTTATTACCTGCTTGCTGGCAATATTAACCAATCAGAGCAGTTCTATTTATTTTCCTCATGCATTTTATGTACCTCGGGTGTTATAAGTAAAGCTTTCTTCGTTAAGAAGCATGATTTTAATACAGTCTTGATTTTTGCATGATTTTTTTTTTCTTTTAAATTTTTATGCTTATTCAGAAGAATATCAGTTTAATATTTAAAAACAACAAACTAGTGTTAAGGAGTTTCAAAAACATTTGTATTTAATTTAGAATACTGCTCGATTCGTTCAAATTAGGTTAGTTTAACTCAAATTTAGTTCCTTCAAATTTCAATATAATTTTATGAATTAGCATTATGAATGAATAAGTTATGAATAAGAACTCTGGATGAATGCTTGGTTGTGTACAAGGCCGCAGAAGTCTGTTCCAAAGAAAATAATAGATTATGATTTATTATTTACCATACCGTTCAAATCAGCTCTAGAATTCAATGGCTAGCTACAGGGTCGTCTAAATATTCACATGATGAAAATGCACATAATTTGATGATGTAATGCACATGATTTGATGATGTAGTGCACATCAGTAGTTGATGAATAGTACACAATTTCATTATATATATACTGCACAAAATTATGTTTAAAATGTCATATATTAGAAACATTGTAAATATTTGTATGCATGTGAGATAATCTTTTTTCCACTTTCCTACAAACATATAAACTGTTTCAGGTCAGTGTTGCTGTTTTTGTTTGTTTTCTGCTTTTCGTAAATGTTTAAGCACAGACTTCAATAATAATAAAGCACTTAAAATTTAAGATAGCATTTGATTGGTCAATCAAAATAATTTGCAATGGTATAACCATGATATACTACCCAAAAATTTCTCATTTGCATATGAAGCCTGGCAGAGAGACCAAGATTTTGAAGAAAACGCATACAACATCAAAAGTGTTGCTGCTTTGGGTGGTGTTACCTGATATATATGAACTGGAATGGGAATAATGTTAATGCTACTGTATTATGAGATTTGCATTGGTACATTGTATATATCATGATTACATTGTTACAAATATCTGTTATACTATAGCTAGCCTTCCTCCGTATCGCCGGTAAAACTCATTTTGCGATAGTATAATCTCGCTGTACCGCCACAATTTTCAAAACACGGTAGGGTTATCCCATAAATGACTACAAAATATCGGCTAAAATCAAATCATTCTGATTTATATCAAATGCAAGTGAATTTATCATACTATAAATTTACATATTGTAGCGCATTCATAATTTATCGCTTTTCACACGTTAATTATTGCGCTAAAGTATGAATGCGCTAATTAAAGTTATTGTATATTGTGATTTTAGCAAATTAATGAAGAACTTAAACAAATTCCTACACTACGGTCTGGCTCGACGTCAGTTGTCAAAAATAGATATCATTGAAAACATTTGTATTCAAAATGAGTTAATTCTTTTAATAATTTTTTAGTATTTTTCTAATTTATGTTATTATAAATATTCTTTGTTTGAAAAGAAAAAAAAGCATGCCTGAGTAAATCGTTTTCTTTTGGAATTTTGTAAATTAACTTACTCGAGTTAGATAAGCGGGGGGAAAATTGTAATCATACTTTATCTTACAACCTTTTTTTTTCTTTATTTTTCTGGGTTATTCTACAAAAAATGTAAACATAATCTTAGAAACTCTGGCATTCAGCTATCAGTGCCGGCATTGTTAATTAATTAGAAAAACAACAAAACACTGTACAACCATAATGTATAACAATACCATTAGCAGTTGTGTTTGAAAAAAATAGTGACCTTAAAACCACATACTGCTGAGCAAGTGTATATATACTTACAGGTTCACCAATTACTTATTTTCCAATAGTATTTCATTTTTTAATCTTATTTGCTCCAAAGCAAGCTTTCTTTCCAGAATGCATTGAGTCTGTTAATTAGTTTCTATAATTGAAAACAGCCTAAATTCAGGTTAGATATGAGATAGGTAATCTTTTACTAGACAGATTGTATGTAGTTACTGTATGCGGGGGAAAAAATGGCCAAGTTAAATTTTCGCCCTTTGCCGGTAAAATCCCTATTAGCCCAGTTTTAATTCCGCCTTTCACAGTTAACTATACTATGTATATTATGTCGTTTAGTAATGTTTACTGTAAAAGTCAATTTGCATTCATTACGGAGGGCGAAAAAGGCGAAAATTAAACTGCAGCGAAAAATTCCCCTGTATACAGTTATACATATATCATATAATATGTGCATTACTTCTGTTGGATGTTAAATGATGATAAATCCAGGAGAATTCCTGGGTTTCAGGATACACCCAATGGCTGTCAATTTCCATGAAAAGAAAAAAAGACGAATATGCACATCCTTTTTTTTGGGAGGAAACCACCTTAACACATTTTTGCCCCTCCCTCCAAGATTTAAATCATTCCCTGTTTAATCCATGGTAATGTCACTATCGTAGCAATTTCTGCCCAAATGATGTGTATGTGATCAAAGTTTTGTGTTATGCAGTATGTTTATGCCATTTAATACTTCAAAACTGGCCCATGACCATATTGGGATTTGAAATATAGTTTTTAGGTCACCTGAGCTTTGCTCAAGTGACCTATTCCAATCGCTTTTCGTCCGTCGTCGTCCGTCGTGCGTCGTGCGTCGTGCGTAAACTTTTACATTTTCAACTTCTTCTCAAGAACCAGTGGATGGATTTTTTTCAACTTGGTCAGAATCATCCTTGGTAGATGAGGCTTCAAAATTGTAAAATTGGGATTCCTACCCCCACCCCTGGGGCCAGGGCGGGGCCCCAAAGGGAAAATTATCCAATATTTCAAAAATCTTCTTCTCCAGACTCACAGGTACTACAGTGATTTTCTCTACGTGGAAAGAAAGATCATCAGGGGCTTTACTTAAATTGTAAATTTCAGGACCCCCGAGCTATCCGTTCTCCCTTGGGGAGGGGGTAAAGTTTACTATAGTTTATATAGGGAAATAACACTTTTGGGTATATTTTGACAACTTTCTGTAGGAAATTATTTTTACTTGGTGAGAATTATCCTTGGAGGTAGATGGTTTCAAATTGTAAAATTGAGATTCCTACCCCGACCCCTGGGGCCAGGGCGGGGCCCCAAAGGGAAAATTAA